GGTGGTTCACCCTTTCCGACCGTCCTCGAGACGATTCAACGACCCGGCGACGTTTCGTCGTTAAGTCCGGCGTTCTTCTTTCCCAGACAAAACAGATTAGCCAGCTGATCTGCCGGCGATCAATTAAACGGGATATCTCGGGAAGGCGATAAGCATCCGCGGCAGCATTAAAGTATTTCCCTCGTCGCGGTTTGTTACGAAACTCTGGAAGGTGGTCGGCGGCGCGGTTGTCACGAGCAGAAGTCAAAATTATTGGAATTTCGACACGAGGACTGCGGGAAACGTCTCCTCGGGACCGGCGGGAGGGTCGTTCGGGGATGGGCTCGCGGTCGGGTAATGGAAGATGTGATAATTTAGTATGCACGGCGGAGTTTATTTGAATTTTATTGGCGGGCTCGCTGTCACGTGGGTCAACGCGTAGGAGTGGTGGCCGGGCCACAAGGGGGTCCCTCTTTCGCTTTATCGGATCGGGGGAGAGACGACGCTCCTCCCGTTTTCTCGTTTCCCCGAGGGGACACTTCCGTCCGACCAATATCGCTTCCTCTCTCTCCTCCTTCGTCCCTCCTCCCTCTCTCTCTCTCTCTCTCTTCCTCTCGATCCTTCTTTCTCGCTCTCTGTCTCCCTCGATCCCGGTTTCTCCAGCTTCTCCCGTTTCTTTTTCTATTTTTCACCCTCTCCTGGGCCGCTTCCAATATCTTTCTAAGTTCTCCGAGCCGGCCATGAATAAACTATTCCCCGACTTTGAATATCTGAACGTTTTGCGCGGTAATGGGACCGCCATCGAGGGACCAACCGCAGAAAGGACGGGAGAGGATGATATCGATTGATCGACGGCCGCCGTAAACGGGGGTAACGGCGGAGTCGGAGCCCACCATCCTTCAATTTTTCGGAAAACGATACCCTCGCTGAACGCCGCCGTCTCGAGACCTGCACCTTTGAATATGGATAACCTGGCTCAACACCGAAAATGTCACGGAAATAATAAACATGATTTAGCCCAGTCTCCCTTATTCTACCCTATCCTATCCCTTATTCTATACCCGCGGAGCGTGCACTCCGGAAATGCGCTTCGCATTTCCGACGATCTGCTAGTTCCTGGACTTTGTTACTGTGACCTTTCAACCGCTGGTCAAGCTTTAAAAAATATCCAGCTTTAGAAATTAATTTCTGTTTTCATCAGTTTCACAGCAGGCTTTGTAGGCCGCTGGGACATTCGGGGAATAATTTCTAGGCCGTATCAAATTAGGATCAATCTAAAAATACTTCGAGTCTGTAAAGAAAGTTATATATCACAATCATTTAGAAGAAAGTAGTTGAAATATGATCGTACTTTGGGTTATTCTACGAGACAGCAGCAATGTGTACACAGGACAATTTGCTAGATACATGAGTAGACTGCTTACATATGTATAAAATAAAAGATTCATGCTTTAATTGTACAAAACAGGAGTTACATAACAGTGTACTTCTTCATTTAATTGTTTTAGTAAATTGAAAATCGCGTAACGACATTTTGAAAATTTGCCGGCGTCTTTCAGTTTTTCGATTCACTTGTCCATTTTTTGCCGCATCGCGATTCGACGTCAACCTTGAAGCGCCCGCCTGGTCAGCATCATCCCCGGAACCGCGCGAGATTCTGTTCCACCCCCGATCGCGGGACGATTAATTTTTCGTTGTCGGTGACGGTGATGAAATCAAGCAGTCAGCATAATGAGTAGCGTTGTCTGCCACGCAATTCATCGGATGTCGCGAAACGAGATGCGAGGAGGACGACGAGGGGAGGTGCGGAAGGACGGCGCGGGGTTATTAATATTCAGGACGAAGAACGGGAGTCGAGAGCAGTGCCGAGTGACAAATACCTCGCGCCCCGTCCCAACCCCAGAACGGCTCAACTCTGTAATTAACGCTAATCTCCCGGCCGTTCCTCCGACACCGTACCACCCACTTCGTCTTCTCTCCCGCCTCTATACTTACGGAGCCGGAGGGTGGCCTTAAACAGCCTCTCGAGTCGATTCCCGACTGAAGAGGATCTATGATTCCTTCTGGAAGAAAATGGCTGCTCGAAAAGCAACCATTTGGCTCTCGCCAAAATGAAGGATCAGGGTCCTCGTTTTAGCCCGCGGAATTTTCTCCATGTGGAAGCTTGCTACTCCCTCGGTCATTGCTCCAAAAAAAAAAAGAAGAGAGAACTACGGCGCAGAGGCGAGAAATAATTCACGCCGGTCCCCGCATATTTTTGCAAATATTAGTCCGGCGCTGTTCGTTCATCGCGCATTGTGTACATTTGAATTTACAAAACCGGAAGCTGAATTACTGCTCTCGCGCGCGGACCTAAATGGATGACGCAGGGATGGGTGTCCTCTTCGAAACTTCGCCAGCCGTTGGAAACAATGACTGCGGACATTCTGCGTGACGGAAAGATGTGCATCTGTAGTAGATGAAAGACAATGATTAACAGGAAAGATACATTTTATTTCTGTGTCTTACGATTAATTTGACGGTCCTGTCAGCATTAGTTTTTATGCTTATATCGGTAAAATATTTTATTGAATATCATTAAAATGCATATACATTCACTCCATCATCCGATCCTCGAATGTCAGAATTCGCTGGGGCAACCTATATTCAAAATGATTCAGTGTATAAATCGATAAATATTAAATCGTGCGCTACGACTAAGTAGTTTGTTCAATTCTCCGAACATTCGTGTCACAAAAATTGCACTGCGTTTGAGCAAATGCAATCCTGTCATTATTATAAAACAACATATATCAGTCGTGTTTAGTACTTGGTAGTTCTACTGTTAAATAGTACACAAAATGAACTCAACTATCTTTATATAAAGCATAATATCGTGGATGTCACAGATGTGTGACGATAGCTTGATTGTGTCTAAATATTCGCAGCTTTCGCAATTATTTCGACCAGTTCCCTGATCGATTGTTCCAATTAAATCGTATCTGTGCCATGGGACAAGATAAAGGAAGGTTGCTGAGTAGCTTAGAAGGTACACTGTTTGGTAGAGGTGGCGTGGAGCGTGCAAAACGTGAAAGATGGCTAGGAGCGTCCCTGCGAGGTCAAAGGACGAAGATTCCTTCATCCACTTCCTGCGATATGGTCGTCGCTGGTGGTTGCGCGCCTCGGTTAGCACTTGGTGGACTAAAATAGCGAGTCAGCCGACCGCGAATATCCTTGATTAAACGCAAAAAAGCTCCGAGACCTACGCTCTCCTCGTGCTCTGGCCGTGGCTGCGTTTTTTCGCCACCCTCCGCCATCACGACGGTCGGGTTTGAGCGCGGAGAATTGGATTGGCCGTCTTTCCTCTCGTCCTCTTCCTCCCCTTCAGTTCTTTCTCTCTTCGGGTCCGAAAGAAACCCTGCCGGTTTCAAAGCTTCTGGGGACTCGATTAGAGCAAACGCGCGACATCCGAAACACGCGAGCACATTCGGCTCTCTTCCGGTTTCAGTTTTGCACCTTTGTCACCTGTACACGGCTGTTGGTTCCATCATTTTCCTTTGGTGTAAATCACATTTCACCTTACAGCATAAGATAGACAGGTAAAGTCCACTTCTAAGCTTTCGGAACAGCCCTTTCCATTGGGAATAGACTAGATAATGTTATTGAGGGTGATTTGTTTGTTCAGAATAATTGCTTTTGGAATTACCACTTGAAGCAAGATTTCCAAGCTGCACCTCGATGCAGCGCAATGACTGAATATTCGATTAATCCTTCACACCCTCGAAGCCATTTTAACTCCATATCCAAAATAATTTTTCCTACAGTATTTCCATTTTACATGACTTAGTGCATTTTATGCACACTTTTAACAGTGATAAGTGGACTGCGGATTTTATGAATTTATAACAAAAATGAGTAGATCGAATATAAAACCATAAAAACATTCAAACAATTTAAAAACACTGTTACGTTATTCTTAACTGGTTTAAATTATTCAGGAATCAAATATATATCTATATAGCCTTTTTTATCTTGTAATTACTACAGTCTAGTAATAATATTCCAAATTATTTTCGAACATAATATAATAAGTTTTAGTCGTGTCTCAGGGTCACCGTTGGAGTGGATAGGGTTAACAGTCCCCCTGCCCAGATTTAATAAGTAAAAAGCGTTAATAGTGCGGATGTAGGTTACTGCAGCATGTCTGCAGGACCATTAACATGTCCTCTTCGATGAACCACCTAGCTGCAGGTTTCTTCATAACGCCGATGACTTGGCAACTCCTCGGAATTGCATTCGTCGACGTGCCCTCCGTAGCAGTCTCGTAGAACTGTATCCTCCGAAAAGTCAACATTGTTCGCCATTAAACTGAACAGGATGCCGCAGTTTCAGTTTACATTGGAACCAACTATCGCTCGGTGCAATAGGTTACAAATTCTGCAGGACTTGTGCTCGGAAAGCAGCGATAATCGAGGATGACGTTGGTCGAAACAATGCGCTCCGCCGTCTAAGCATGAGGAGCGAGTTTCCTGTGACAGTTAGGGGTGATGTCGGAACAGGGTGATATATGGTTGCAGCGAGTGCGGGAAATGTCACGTGCCAGGCCACCTTGTACACAGTTCTGAAAGGATTACGGTGAATGCGGTGCATTCAATCGCGGATCAATCAAAATCCCTTCAAAGAGCCAATTAACTCTGCTAATTGAACTCTCCAAGAAACCGATCTTCTGCTCCAATTTTCTTCCGCAAAAAAAAATTGTAGAAAAATGAACCACGAACACTTTAGGCTTATTTAAAATTGCCTGCAGATGGGAATGCACCCCAACCCTGTGCTCACTACCCCATCTTGCAGTTCAAGGCCGGCTCCAACGTCGGCAAATGAAATTCCTATGTTCCCGACGACGTAAAACGAGTCTCTAATCTTGACGATAGATGACACCGTGCTGACCTTGATGATCTACTACAGGCGGCATTTTCAATGAACCGTAACTGTTTGTAGCCCAATCAGAAACAAGCGCATAGTGAATCGACCGTCGTTTAAAAGTGTGGCTTTAAACGGACATGCAAAGCTTTTCATAGTTCGCGATCGCGGTATACAGTTTAGTAGTGTAGTGAATGGCAATGGCTACGTCGAGTTGTAGGATGCTAACTTTCTTTCTCCTGTTTTTAACCGTGTTTATAAATGCTGCGCAAAGTTACCGAGCCGTGATCATCATCCATGGTGTTCTCACGGGAAGCGACAGTATGGAAGTCATCAGCGATAGAATCAAGGAGGCGAGTATTATACGAGTATCGCTCGAACGCGATATCTTCAGATGTCGCGCTTGCTTGAAATTGGCGGGAAAATTAATGCCACAGGGGATTTGAAATGTTCGTTACAGATGCATCCGGGGACGCAAATTTACAATACTCCGAGGTACGCGGGATGGAGTAGCTTGGAACCCATGTGGCGACAAGTGGAGGAAATTGGCATGGATCTGATTTCCATAGGTGCTGCGTTCCCCGAGGGAATTAATTTAATTGGGTACAGCCAGGGCGGTTTGTTGGCTAGGGCGATTTTGCAAAAGTATCCCGAACACAACGTCAGGAACTTTGTTTCTTTGAGCTCTCCGCAAGCAGGAGAATACGGAAGTACGCAACGCCATCTTTGAACGTAAACAATGTAGGACTGATGATTCAAATATGTTTACTTACAGCTAAGTTTTTGCACTTATTTTTCCCGAACCTGTTCTGCAAGACTGCTTACGAGCTGTTTTACTCTAAAATTGGCCAAACTATTAGTATTGCTAATTATTGGAATGATCCACGTGAACAGGTTCGTATATTTCAAGCTTAAACACACATAAAATCGAAAATAATGAATAGTTTTAAGTAATTTATTTTGAAGATGATATACATAAAATGTACTACTATATAATGTACTATAGAATATACTGTAGGCAATGTACTATAGAGAGCAAAATTATTTTCTATGAAATTAAAGTGAATTGTTCCGAAATAATTTCTTACTGCAGTGAATTTATTTAAATTTTATGCAATTCGATACTGCAGTAATATTGCAAGAACTTAAAAATGTCGATATATTATTTCCAACCTATTAAGAACGTTTTCCTTCTTTTCTGTACCACAGGAATTATATTTCAAGTACAGTGACTTCCTTCCATACGTGAACAACGAGAAAAATACAACGAATTTACAGATGTCGAGAAAAGGTATCACTAAACTGAATCGTATGGTGCTGATCGGAGGTCCGGACGACGGGGTAATTACCCCATGGCAGAGCAGCCATTTTGGATATTATGATGCCAATTTAACAGTGATAGAAATGCGCCAGAGACCAATTTATGAAGACGATTTAATTGGTCTGAAGACGCTAGACATAAATAAGAAACTCACTTTGATTACGGTGCCGAATGTTCACCATTACGAGTGGCATAAGAACGTGTCTATCGTAGACGATTATCTATTGCCATACTTGGATTAATGTACGTTACGCAGAATTAATCATTGCCATGCAATGTCCTGTGAGCAATATCTGAACAAAAGATCTTTGTTGATCATGACAATTAACACGACTGAATAGAAATACGATAAGAGCCCCATTGTATACAACCCTAAAGATAAACGAATATTTCTAACGTGACTAAGATGATCGACTAAAGGGGACAGCTCAATGATAAGACGCTTATGTATACACTTTTATTATCAATAAACGTTTGCTAATTTATCAAATACAAAATCGAGTATAATGTCATGTTTGGGCTCCGGATACGTGCTGACATAAATCGACGTAACTTTAAGTACTACATTAAGTCTACGTATCATTATTGATAGTTAACTTGTTATTGCTTGTTCATAGACATTACATAAAGGTTATCACAAGTGTTTCTAAAATTACTGCAGTGTAGCCTCTTAGAAACTTTTCTTATGTGTAAAGCGAGTGATGAGATCGAGAGCCCACAAGGGCTGATCAGAAGGAACCATGTGCCCAGCATTTCGCACCAGGACTTCCGTTAAATTGTCAACGGTTTTCGTGTAACCAGCTAGTTCTTTACCCACGTACCATAACTTTCTCTCCGCCGTTTTATATTTATCGGCGCCGGACCATTCGAGGTTACGTAAATAATTTTCAGTCAGTGGGTACGCGACTATTATATCCAACTGACCATTATATATTAAGACTCTGAAGTGCTTAGTCAAGTCGGTAATTAGCACAGCCAAAGATTGCATTACATCCCCCTTCAAGTGTTCCTCTACCGTTTTATCTTCAACATTGAACGTACAATTGCCGACGTGTATAGCTTTTCTTACATCTGCTCTCTGGATCCACTCTGACATTGCAACAGCATCAGAAGGGTCTTTCACGTGCAAATAATTGAAGTAAAAATCGAAACCAGTTAAGTTTTTAAATAATGACGGATAACCAACGAGGTCGCCATCGAGCAATGTATCGAAAAGATTAAAAGCATCTATGAATTTCTTTTGTTTAATTAGATTTCTTCCCTTCTCCTCGTATGAATGGAACAAATCTCTCCCATTTGAATCAATTAATCCCAATTGATACAGATAATCTCCGTACACTAACTGATTCTCTGGATCAGTCAACCCATTCCCAATTGCCAAACCCTTCAAATTTATTTTGGTTTCTGCTTTGATATTGTAGTCTTTGATAGCATGTGACACAGCAGGTACATACTTCCCAGCATATGATTCACCAGTTACATAGAAATCATTGCTTTGAAGTTCTGGAAATAGTGTGAAGAACTGGACCAGTACTGTATGGACATCCCTTCCCACATGTGTCTCATTAGTGGCATACCCCTTGTCATTCTCAGTAAAACTGTATCCAGTACCAACTGGGTTATCAATGTACAATAAATTATGCGATTCGTGCCAAGAGTATTTGCGTTTTTCAAGAGTTTTGTTCGCATTGACGAAAAATGGACCATTTTCCATAAACAAACCAAACATCGATGTTGCCCCTGGACCCCCTTGCAACCACAACACCACCGGCGCAGTTTTCGGGTTGTGCTAATTAACATAAAAATCTCGTTTGCGTTTTCATACAATTTTCTCTTAACTTACAAAGAAAATTCATATCGATCGAATTTGAATAGAATTTGAATTTTACGATCACTCACCGCTGCCGGGAAGAACCAGAAAAACATGTTCGAATTGTATTCTTTGTTAACGGTGATATAGCCAGAATAACTGGCGACATCGTCCATTTCTTTGTGCTGTACAACGGCTTTATTCCGGGCATCGTCTATTTTGCCGCTTTCAATTAAAGGCGTCAAGAAAAGTGGATTACCCACATCGGCATCGTCGCGGAGTTGATAACTCTTCAATTTCGGATATATATTTGTAAATGCCCTGGTATTTTCAACAATGGCGATTATAACAAATATCTGTAGAATCAGTATAACTCGCTTCGCCATTTTTTTTTTTACATTAATATAGTCACAACAAATCGTGACGAAAACTTTTCCTCTCGCCGTTTGGACGAGAACTGCGTCTAATTATGGTTGATCATGACCTCTTTATCACGCCATGACCCTTACAAAGAGCCGACAAATCAATGTTACCAACACAAACGAATCGCATATCCCCAAATCATGTACTAGGGAATACATAGATACTTTGAACGTGTTTCTCTCTTCTTAGAACATACTCTAAGTTTCCCTTCTATATCATTTATGATACTTTCAAACAGATGTCATATTGTTGGAGAGATTCTCAGCGTTGAAGATCTTTCATAAATACATGTAACTGATTCGTAAACAAATCTTGTAATCAATGATAGCTGTTATATAGCTAAAACACTGGAGATTATTGAAATCAATTTTTCATTAATTAACGTCGATTTCAGTATTAATTCTGCATACATACAAATAGATGGAAGAAAAATCATTCTCAGCTGAGAATGATGTTATTAATAGTTGTTTCTGGCTTAATGAAAGAACAACATTCTAGGTGGTACATAAATAATGTGTTTTGATTTGTAGTTATGTATGCACGTACGTACCTATGTGTACATGCAGTTATCGAGCTTGTAGATGGCAGAGGTGTAGCCACAGCATTTTCATTCCTAAACTAACTTCTGCAGTGAACGATGCGGAAAACGTGTAGATTTTTGTGAATATATATTATTTCTAGTATTATCTGTTCTCATCGGTCCTGTCCGCAGAATATATAATATTTCTTTCGTCCAGTTTCGTAAATTACTCGTGGTGTCGTTAGGATAGTAAGCACCTGGAAAAATAACCACAAAAGTGAAAGATATTGGTTAGAAATATCAGCGGTTGTTTTTGAAAATGGAAGTGATCCTTGGTCGTAGCACCAGGCTGATCAGCACCCTGGGGCTTGGTCCGACGTTTCTAACGAAAAACTTCTTGGAATCAGTGCGTTTCATACGATGCACCGATCCGAAACGCTGGAAATTTAAGCTTTCCGGTAGGTTGCCAACAGTCCCGCCACAAGGCACACGCTTCTTGTTCAATTAAACATTGTTATTATCGTTGTCTAAATAATTTCAGAACGATACCCGCGTTACGGAAACTTCTCGTGTAACTCTGTCCCACTTTTTAATCGTATTACCACAAATCAACTGCCCTATAGGTATAATATCGCTAAATGTAGTATACCAGTCACGCACTATTGTGGCTCTAAGCAAACTGATAAAAATGTTCCTGCATATCAGCCGCAAAAGCTGTCGATATTCGCGAAGATGAAACAGATGACCAAGGACTATTGGCATGTCTTAATACCAGTGCATGTGGTCACCTCCATTGGTTGGGTGGCTGTGTTTTATGCAACAATTAAAAAGTATGAACGAACGCTATACAATTGCAGATGTGCCGATAATCCTTTCGTCATGCACTGCGCTGTCACGTGTCTGTTGTTTCAGCGGTGTTGATATAGTTAAAATAATGGAATTCCTACATTTTGGTCGGGACTATTTAGACATGGTGCGAAATTCCAGTGCAGGCAACTGGGCCTTAACATATGCTCTATATAAGATATTTACACCCCTTAGATATACGGTGACAGTAGGTAATTAAACGAAAACAATGAATCAACTTGTTGGACTTACAGGAATCGGGGAAAATCGAATTAATAATGACATATATCGTTCGTAGGACTCACAACAATGGCTATCGGACGGCTGAGCAAATTAGGATATGTGAAACCACTGTCGTTCGGCAAACAACGACAAATTATACCCAAGGTACTATCTTCGCGAAGGGTTCCCTATATACTGATTAGAACTACCAAACTATCGATATTGATTATCTGAAATATTTGTTTTCTCCTGTTCTTTTTCCATGCATACATGATATAGGCTGCATACGATGCAATGTGTAGGTTTCGATTCTATCGCCAGAATAAAACGGTTTTTTTTCCGTTCTATAATGCTCTATCATGTATCTTTCTCTAATAACTCGATCAAGTAATATTTGTAACGATTATAACATTTTTGCCGTGTTGCAGACGAAAGGGTCAAGTGAAGATAAGAAAATGCACAAAACCACGTTGAAGACAGGAGGAGAAACGGAACCCCCGAAAACATAGCGAAAGATGAAATCACGATGTTAATCTACTTTTGATTGGATCTTTAGGTTTTCGGGTTTGGCTCGCTGCTAAGCCAGAATGTGCGAACGGATGTATATTGCCTGTTGTAAATGTATAATTTTACTGTGTTACAATAAAAAACGATCACGAATGCCTTGCGTCTTCTTTCCTCTTACTTTCAATTCCCTCATCGAAACGGTATCAATTTAACGTTGACAGGTATACTCTTCTTTATTGAACGGTCGTCTTCTTTTACATACCGTGCATACATTTAAATAACATTGTACTTTTTATCTACAATACTCGCAGCTTACGGCTAGACGCAAAGATATTGAATATTCGTGAAACGTAGCAAAGTTTTTTGGCAGCACGAGTTGTGCGTTATATAGTTTACTCAACGATAATGCACCAAACCTAGCCCCGCGAAGCCACGGGGATTCTAAAATTTTGAGCTTCGTACGATCGTGAACCTTTCCTGAGCAACATCGTTAAAAGTCTCAAGAGTATTTACGTAATGTTCTCGCTCGAATGATCGGTGTATAACGTATTGTCGCAATAAATACTGTTAGCAAAAAACGCGATGTATCAGCTACGGCATTCTGCGCCATCGGTAGAAGTCTTGGTAGAATCGGACGTATCCAAAAATCTTAGGTCTCGATCGTTGAGATCCGTGTGTACTACCCTCGATCCTCATCATCATGGACACGTCGCAATAATATGGTTACTTATACATTATATACATGTACTAAATAAAGGAATAGTTACTTAACAACATTTTTGTTATTATGCTAATATATCACAGTTGCCTGCGCAACCAGCTCATCCTAAATGAGACCACTGCACCCGCGTGCAGTACCTTCGACGAATAAATAAGACCACATATATTAAATATACCACTTACCTATATTAGTAGCTGTCAATGGAAAAAAAATGTCGCCGCGAATCACGGCGACGTATCGCTAACGAATTACGGCAGATCATCGATAGATTATAAATTGATTAGACCTGAATAATCTAGAATCTAGGTGATCCCGTTGGGAAGTGTAAGTATTTCGATTCTGTAAATAGCCAGTCTTGGTATATGATCCAGTCCTCGTCGGAGGAACGATAAAGCTATTTGTCTTGTAGATGATGCGTGTGTTCTCTAGTTTCTATGTAATTTAAACCACCGTGGGCCAACAGGCAAGTTAACCGTTACCTTGAAACTCCGTTTCAGTTGTTCGGCGGACTGGTGTCGCGGTACGGTGAAATGCATACGGTCGCGGAATTCATTTAACTTATCCCATAAATTGATAACTAGCTGATACTGGCTGCGGTGCCCTCGGCTGCGTGTGGGATATGCGTTGGATGTGGCACGCACGGCACATGAGTCTGCCGTCGAGTGGGTAGCATCGTTTGTCCGGCTCGTCGGTCAGCTGCATACCGCAGTCCTCGCAGACGTAGCAGTCCACGTGGAAGTCTTTGTCCATCGAGACGACCCGGACGGTCTCCTCGGTCCCCTGAAAGATGCACGTCGCACATCATTTAAGGGGACGTGTTCCTACGAAGTCTCCATCGCGCGTTTGGGAACGCTGATTACCTCGACAGGTGTGATTCCCTTCCCGCAAGAAGCGCACTTGGGCGCGAACATCCTGTGATAGTCGTTCACGCAGTATATCTTATTGTCTACGTCGACCGTGAAAGGAACACCGTCGAGACACTCGTTGCACACGCAGCATCTGAAGCACCCTGGGTGGTACGACTTCCCCATCGCTTGCAAAATCTACGGTAAAGACCTCGATTTCATTACGATTTCATCGGGGACCACATCAAGGAAGAGTTCTCCTTTTGGATCCATCCACGGGAGAACTTCCCCTTAACGCTTCCCATTTAATTACCATCTCCATGATCAGATGTCCGCAGATAGCGCACTTCTCGGCCGTCTGTTGGAAGCCGGAATACTGCGAACGTAACATTGTATAAGCTTCACGGTTCTGTCATTGATCGTTCAACGATCGTCTTACGTACCAGATAATCCTCCTCGCAATACACCCTCCCGTGAACGTTATAGAACGCTTTGCCGCGCAATGCTCTCCCACAGGAACAGCATATAAAGCAATTGGTGTGGTATAGGTTGCCCATGGCTTGGCAGGCCTGACCGGCCCCGGTGACTTTTTCACCGCAGGTGTGACATATACCTATAAAAAAGGTAGTCGGATACTCGTCGGCAATTATAGATTCATTACAATGATAATAGCCGGTTGCGCAACAGGCGGATTCTTCGCTGATCGCGGTTGCAAATGTACGATCGTGACAGGTTTATCGGCGGGGTTTAAAAATACCCTCGTCGACCGTTCGACAATGCATTCCGTTGCTGTGCCATGGATGATCGTTGGGATCGCGATACGGGGCGCGATTAGCCAGTGCAAACGAACTCACAGCTCTCTATGGGTAACACGGACTCGGCCATCCCTTCTAAAGGAATTCCCGGTACTTCATTCGTCGACCGCGACACTTGTAGTTTCGATTTAACGACTTGGTCTCGCCGCGCCAGTCCTGTTCGAACTAGAAGCCGCCAACGAGTCGGACTGGTCTATCTATAACGAGATTAGTTACCGTGGCAAACGCGACGTGGCTGCCGCTGTTTGCCGTGTACAGGACGTTACACGAAGAATAGAACACGTGCAGAAAAACCAAGAGGAACACTAGGCTCGCCTAAACGCCAGCCACTTATCGACTGACACCGACTCGCTCGGCTGAAGTTCCTGTCCCACTCGCGCGACTCTTTAAGGGGCTACAGGCCAGACCATTTTGTTCCAGCGAAAAATGTATTTGCGGAATTGTGCATCGATGACTACTACCGCCTCCAAGGCCGGCCGTATCATCTGCACGCAGCGATTTAGACTGCATCCGTTGCTGAACACAACGCTGGAATCTTACGTTCCCTAAAGGGACTCTCTCTACCTGTGATCCTCTCTTTGGGAAAAGCTGGAACTCTCTCATAAAGTTATATCTAATTGCAATTGGCTCTCTGGGCCAGAATGTTCCTAACACTTTTTGTGTTACCGGTCTTGAAGCACCCAAGTCCTAACATTCTTCCTTCACGAAGGAACTCTTTTCTTCTGTTACACCTTTTGGGAGAAGCTAGAAGTCTCGTTAAGCTATTCCTAGTAGGTAATCGCTCTTTGAGCCAGAATATCTCTCACACCTTTCTCGGTTTTTGACCGTGAAACAGTGGAATCCTACGTCTTCTAGAAAAGGCCTCTCCTTTCTTATGCGCTCCATAGGAAAACCTAGAAGTCTCGCTAAGCTATCCTTAATCGAGTAAGAGTTCCTCAGGCGAGAATGCTCTCCTCGCGCTTTTCGCGTTGTCTACAGATAGCAGAGTAATTTGCATCGAATACTTTCGTTAGAATTGAAAATCGTCGTTGCGCAATCCTGTGTACAATTTAAATGACAAACAAGTCTGACACACTTAAGTGGCTTTCGCGTGAATACAAGGCACTTTCAGCACGTGCAGCGGGCTTGATGATCCCATTCTTCCGTCGACAGGCGGCAAAATCTAATCGACATTGACGGTGTCCAATGTGAACCCACCTTACGGTGTCCGGGGCACAAGGGACCCACGTGCGTGTATACGCGGTGTTCGCGAGTGCACCGAACGAACGCATGTAACGTGCACACTTGTAGCGCTTCAAGTAGGTGCGAAGACACGTAGGTGGAAACGAATGGGCCGAGAGTGAATGTCAACGAAACGCCGCATTAAAAAGTTTCGCGACACATTCAGACTCGACTCCATTTTCCAAAACCGGTCTACCGGGAACTTGGGCCGTGGGAATTGGCACGGTACCCCGTCGCTTTTTATTTCCTCCCAGAAGCATTTCAAATTACGGATCGGAATGCGTCGTCGGTGAAGTAACGACGCGGCCGGGGCGACGTTATTGGACTTTAATCTGTTTAAACAGATTACGAGGAATCGGTGAAAAAACAGACACGCGGCCGTAGGGCTACGTAAACACCGGCTAATGAAGAACATTCTCTTGTACGCGTGCAACCGGAAGTCACCGCGTATCAGCAACCACCAGGGATGTCTTCATTAATTGTCCGACGACTCCTTACCGAAGTATTCGCCCTCCTCTTCTTGCTTCTCCATTTCCTCTTCGAGTTGTCTCGTCAGCTCTTCTATTTTCCTTTCCGCCTCGGTGGGTCCCTAGAAGTCATAAATCACATCCCGTATTGGCCATCAATAACGACTGAACTGTAGATCTTTATGCAAATTTCTTTCGCTGGCTAATCAAAATAAAAGAGAAACGTTATTAACCGTATGGGGACGGATATCGTATCTAATACTTATAGAACAATTTAAATTCATAGTATTTAAAAAGAAAAAAAATCCTCGTCCGCGAAGGATTTATTTTTGTTAACGAGACGAAGATCAGCAGTCTAACAATGACAATCGAACGGAATGGGATGTCGTCGCAAGCGTACATAAAAAAATCGCAGATACAATTAACATTGGCGAAAGAAGATGGAGAACATACAGGTTTACATGCTTTTGTAATGAAGCATGCAACAGCCGATGAATAAAATATTGTACAGAAACGATACAGCGCCGGTGAAGAGGAAACAGTCTATAGCCAGTGATTCAGCGCGAGTTCGGAGAAAGAACTCGTCACGAATCGTAAGATATTCTGAAATCCAAGCGTGCGTTTTTTTTATCGCCGGCCAAAGCCGAAGGTTTACGAAGTTTCTGGCGGATTAAGGAGGCTGTTTATCGGATTGTGGGAGCAACATTTTCGCTCAAATATCCGCTAATCTTATCGTTACATGGGTCATCCGTTATGTAAAATATCAGCGATAGCGGCTGACATTCGTGAGATCATCGCTCGAAAGCGACAAACAAACGCTGGCCTCTCCTTAATTTTGCGTGAAATTCTAACGTATCTTTTTCGGTGCAACGGAGCGCAGAGTACAGAAAATTTAGGCGGATTTAGGATAGTTTCAGCATGGATAAGGCGATGATCGGATGCAGGGTCGATCGCAATGTTATATGAAATCGGCATGCAAATGAGAATCGGCGATTGGCGATTTGCCAAGGCAAATCGAAAGCACTGCCGCGTTCCCTTAACCCAATTAACGCGAGTATAGCGTTCTATAGCTGTCTTTGTTCAGAGACGAAGGAAGATAGAAATAGTAGTAGTAGTAGTTAGAGGATACAAATAATATTTGTCTCACAGAGTGGTTTCTTACTGAAGGTCTGGGTGGTATGACATTGTACGGCAGCAGACCCTTCCCAGCCGTGGGTTTGATCGGCGGGCTGACTGACTTTCTTTCTTCGAGTTCTGGTTCAGACGGCCTTTGTAATACAGGTACCCCAGCGTTCAGAAAAACTGGACCAGCCACCCCGCTAGTCACCCCCGGTGGCAGACTAGTGATCCTAGGCCCATGGACATTTAAATCGGGCTCGGTGGTGGTGGTTGTAGCACTGGTCACCGGTGCCTGTACTTGACCACGTAGAGGACTTCCCATGACATTATTCGCGGAGGACGAGGACACGTGTCTCGGTGAATTGATCATGTTGTGTGTGACCGTGTCCGACGACACCTGGTTGTGGGTTGGACTCACTTTGGGAGATCCTCTGGCGATGTGATTGTTCGCGATGATTCTCGATGCTTCGGCACGATTTGTAGTGTACACCGGTGATTTCGTGTCGGATGGGTCAGGTACATCCTGAATGAAGTTTCTATCATTCTGTAAATTACTTAGTCTTAAGTGTTCCGTTGATCTATTGGAGGAGTAAATTGGTGAATTTCTGGCTGGAAATTCAGATCTAGGCTCCTGATGGTAGTAGCTCCTCTCAAGAGGTGGTAAAACCTTCGGTGGAGAATAACAGGGGGAATTTCTACAGGCGGACTGTTCCCCCTGTCTTGCACCATAGACTGGAGAATTTCTGGCTTGTGCTTCCCCAGAGATGTTCGCACTGGCAGTTTTTGTATTGGACTCTATGTAAGGTTTGTAACTCTGAGGACTGTCCTGACGGTACTGAGACTGTTGTGCACTTTCAATGTGATTCGTGGCTCGAAATCCGTGCTGACCGCTCAGTGTACTGTCCAGAGATCCACGGTAGAGATGAGGTTCTGGAGGCAAACGAATCGGTGGAGATTCACTATGGTAAGGCAGTCCAGTTCTAGGAGAATGTTGCTGTTGCTGCTCGACACTATAACTAAAATTCCTGGTTGGTGTTTGTAATTCAGATGGCGGAACATAAGCACTTCTGCCAGCTTGGTGGTCTAGCGAAGAAGACGATCCTTGTAAGTACCTTGACGTAGAAGAGTCCACAGAACGCTGTAAACTCGAGCCATCGTAGCTGTGGCCCCGTATATTACTTCCCCTTTGTTGCGTATAAGACAAACTTTGTGTCATACCACGTTGATTTTGTGCTTGGCCCACTTTCCCAGTCATTACAACATAATCACCACCATTAATCGTAGCAGGGTGGTAGTAATTAGGTGGAACCTGAGGGCCTGGCTTATTTTGTGCGTTCTCTGGGAAGTGCACCTCCTGAATATTCTCATAAACAGGTGGTGCTTCGTACGGAGGGAGTTCTTTCGCAGGAGACACGGATTGGTACCGGTTTCCGGTAGGCACTTGTGGTTGTGCTTTTCTGAAAGTAGGCTCGTAAGATTCGCTGGCCAAGGATCCTCTGGGACTGCTCTTAGGGCTTTTCCTAGAGTCCACCGGATGGTAATAAGGAGGATGGGGTTGGCTCTGCTGCGGATAGTAATCGATGTTCTCGTACACCGGAGCCTGTTGATGCGTCATACGACTCTGACTCTGTTGCTGTTGAGCGCTTATCTGTTCGACAGGCTTAGGCGTGGCAAATCTTGACGCAGCTATAATGTTTTCCCTTTCGTACAGCTTGTAATCTGTTGCTGGAACCTGCCTGGTCTCAGAATTGCCCTCGATGAAGCTTTCGATAGCACCAACTGGTCTGCCAGGCCCTCTAGCGTCGTTTCTGCCGACGATGGTCCTCGACACGGGTACCTGAGCCTCGGGTCTCGACCCTGTGACCCTGCCGATGCCCGTAGCACCGCCGGCGTCACTGGGTTCATCTCCAAGGTGCAGATAACCTAGCTTTTGTACGTAGGAAGCGTCGGCCGAGTTGCACATTGGCAGTGATTCGAACTGAGACAATCTACGATAAGAAAAACGTTCACTTGCCAGTCAAGGGTCCCGCGGGGAACGTTCAGATCCAGGTTACCGTCGTTCCTACGAAAATCGTCACAAACCGATCCGACATCGTACGCGAAGCTGCATCGGCTTAGTTCTGTCCAGTCGAATCGATACCTCTGCAAAACTGATGCACCCTCGCGTTGCAGCGGCGTTCTCACTCGCACTGCTCCCCTGCACACCCGCGATTCTCTCACGGAATGCGAGAAAACACGACGCACACTGTCCGCGAAGTTTGCTTGACCGAATCAGGGCCGTTTTTCCCCCACGATTTTGGGATACGCCCCGCGATCACGGCGCCTCGGGAACTCACCAGTCTCCTCTTTTCGACTGCCGTTCGATTCCGCCGGCTATCCCTCGGCTATCTTGTCCAGCACCGAAAATCACCACCTGTGAAAATTCACACGACACGCACACACATGCACCTCGCACGCATCGTGGTTCGTCAAACCAGATACCTGCGAGACATTTTCCCCTGCTACGAGGACTCCAAACTTTGTCCGTGTTTCCAGCGTTCGGTCGCGGTGTGGCGCCACCTCCTCCTCTTTCGGATCTGGCCGACGATCCAGGAAAAGTAAGGTCCCTGCCGTCTGGACAAGGTATTTTTAAGTTTTCCAGGATTTTGAGGTCTATGAGCTGGAATCATTTGCAGTGATAGTATCTCGAACAATGATGGAACGGTGAGAAATTTTCTGCATATTTGTGTCGAATGCTTGGTTGATAAATTACCTTTAGTCAGTTATTTCACAGTTTTCCTAAAATCGCTTTTCCCGGGTTTGTTCCTGGATCAATTTTTCTACAGCAATTGGAATTTTGTGCTTTAATCGATGAATTATCATTCACAATGCAGTTTAAACAGTCCGAGATTGTTCTCCGTTGAGAAGAAGGTAATTAAGTTCCATTTAGGTATAGGATAATCATTGAAACTCTTAATAATAGGTTTCAGGTAGTTAAGGGGTTAACGTAGGACCCTCAAAATGGCGGATGGTACCATCGGCTTACCTAGTATTAAGCTACAACTTATTTTAATTAATTCATCATAACTCTATGGAACATGCATTGATGCAATCTTCTGGAGATGTAGATAGACTTATATTATCTCCTCTGTAAATCCTATAATTAGCAATAATATTAATTTAAACGTCTCATTTTCAACATCAATTTTCCAAGTTCATGCAACAGTTAATCCGATCCACAGAACACGAACCCTTTAACATAATTTTTACTTCGGCACCGAAAATATTAACGGAGTTATGTAAAACGTCGCGTCAGGATCAATGTTTATTTATAGAGCATAAATTAGATACACCGGAGTAAACCGCAGGTTGCGAGATTAGCAAAAAGATTTATTAATCTGGCTCTCATATCCTGTTACGAAATTATCTCTGCGGTTTCTCCAGCGGCACCGGCATAACTCGATTGTTTTCAAGCTGGAAAGAGACATTATTTGCGTGCAAAAGGTGGGAAGTTCGCACTCGTTTCCTCCCCCTTTTTGGGGAACAGAAAAATGCACTCGACGTTGGCCGAAACAGGTTTTTTTTCAGGACCTGGATAGGAAGAGAATGGCCGGGTCGACAGGTAAAGATGCAGGACCTTGTCTCGCGCGCCATCATGCATTCACGAGCACCGTGTTCGGCATAATAATGCAACGTAATTCCAATACACCGTCCGTGCTTTACACTTACAGTAGCCAACGGAAGTGGAATTATCTATTAGGATCATCTATAGCATACTTGGGTTTCCTGAAGCGTATTCGCCGATCAAAAAATATATCCACTCTCTTTCAGAACTTGTTCTCCGATGAATTTCTCTCCGTTTCCTTCTTGTCGACAGGAGGTGACTTTCAAATCACAAGGGATACTATTGAATAGATACACTATTTATAGAACAGATCAAGGAAAGTTCTCCGGCAGCAGAATTCTTTGCTTCGCGATTTCCTGAATAATGATAGCATCGACCAAGTTCTCGGCAACTTTGTGATCTAGCTACGCCCATGTAGCCATCTAATTAAGGAGAGGCGAATGTTCGATCTCAGATGCTGGCAAAGTGTCTCTCAGTGTTTCCTAGCGTTTCAAAGGCACGAATTTTTGCGACCTGGCCCACGGCTGTTGCACGTGTCGCGATAACCGAGTCCCGCGGTCTTCCTACGCGGGAAAGGGACCAAGTTTTCATTGGCCGTGTTCCGCAGCTGTTCGCCATTCGCGCGGAACGTGGGCGCCGCGATCTCACTCGACGAAAACTTTATATTTTCGAAAGGTGAGCAAAAATCCGGGATTTCATGCCTCCGAGCCACCCACGAGTCGGCGGCACCCACGTTCGCCGTGGCACCTGCGCGGCACGTCAATGTGCTGTTGGTCAATACCTGTTGATCGATTGGCAGATACCGGTGACGTAACCCAGCCTGGACTTATCTTTCCATTAGCCGATCGCCGGACGTTTTTAATCCGACGTTCCCCAACGAATTCGAATCGCGTTTCGTTTCGTTTCGTTTAAACTTATTTTCGCCCACTACGGGGAAACAACGCTGTTTTTCCACGGCGTAAATGCTGGATGACATAATAAATTATCGCGCTCGAAACCGGCTATCGCGCGGCCGACACGCAGACGGACACAATGGGCAGCGCGACCGGAAGTGCAGTGGCCGACCGTGCAGCTTGCATAGTTCATTTCTGTCGAAGCCGCGGCGCAATATGACATCAGGTTCTCATGTACTCGTCACCGAGCGTCGGTGCCGACAATAAACACTAGCTTTACGACAGCAAGACCGCACATGTGTTCATGTGCACTCGCGTTTGCGTACGCGCAAAGAGCTGGCTGGCCTGAGTACACAGGAAACGCGGGCCTGAGCTGCCCGCATGGCTCGGAATGCACGAGAATAGAACCGCGCACGGCTCTGTGTGCGTCTCCGTTTACAATAGAATGACATCCACACACCGGCCGTCGCGCGACATCGTGAATCCACCAACACCGTCGCACAACAGTGCGAGAGAACGCCGCGTATTAACCTTTTGAACAGCCATTTACAATTCATATGCAAGTTTCAAAATATGCATCCTTCGAATATCATGGCGGGCTGCTTGATTAGTCGTCTTGACCCCGATTGATACTGATTAATCTTTTTCCCTTAAATCGTTGCACCAAATTTCTTTAATTAGTGGTTATTAGGATTTGAGTGTTTCTCATTGTGAGAAACGAGCAGCGTTATCGTTTACTAACATGCGTATTGTTTACTGATCAAATTTATTATTAAGATGTGTTAACTTAATTTATAGCGACTTTATGATACATTACACTTGTCTTTTTAAAATTCTGGCATACGTAAGATTACATTTTCAAACATAAGCTAAAATTTTCAAAACTGTGACAGCGTTATGCGCCCAACCCCATCGTTCGTAGTTTCCGAGACTGTGAATATGTTCCTGTGGGAAATGATTTAGCAAATTGCTGTATACAATATACTATAATTAGACAGCGTATGCATTTACACAAGAATGAGCTGATAAAATAGAGAACAATGAAAACAGCTGAAAAATATAAGAGCGCGATTATATTATTTTCAGCTTACAAAGTTTATCAATAAATACATTTTTATACGGCTTCTGTTTACCGCAATCGAGGCAGACAATTTGTGTTTTTCGCAAGAACGATTGTTCAACAATAATAAAGATCTTACGTGGTTTAAATTGTCATACAATAAATGTAAGTTTAAAGAAGCTTTCATGAACGCGATTATGAAAGAAATCCTAGGACAAATGGTTCAACAAGGATTTCTTAATGAACTGTACGAGAAACAATTGCAAATATGAATTCAACCTTGTGGTTGACATAAAGTGAACATTAATTAAAGAAGTTCCAATCAACGTAGCCAGGAAAGAGGTCACACGTCGAGAGGTTAAACGGGGATTGTTCAACTGAATATGCAACAAACAATTGGAAGCGTATCTCGAGAATCAGAGCATCGGAAGATCAATGCTCGATTACCAGCCGCCGAGATTGAATCGCCCAAGTGTCGCATGTAAATTACAGTCCACCTGTGGGTACCTGTTCACAATGGTACAACGAAGTACATACAGAGATTGTTCCTCGACCCCTGACGGTGGCGGAAAGACGATTTCTTCGCGGAAAAGATGCGAGACTGATATCCTGGTTCATCTAATTAGCCGGCCGCGTAATTAGATACCTTCTGTCTACCGATTTATATTGCTTCAGATCTGTATTGTTAATTCGCCTTCTGTCGGAGACTCGCAGCTTTCTAAAAAGAAAATTTCGGAATTAATCGTGTGATCTTCGCTGGGGAACGATCCCCGGTATGTCACGCCAATTAACATCGACCCGCGTGATTACCGCCCGGAAATTAGGTGAGCGTCCGAACGATATGCATATTTAGCTTTCGTTTTTCATTGTGCGCGGTCTGTTTCTCGATTTACGCTGTCGCCGCATACCTCGAACGGTTTTTGTGCCGCCGCAATCGAATTCCTCTTGTTTCTGGCCCTCGGGCGACGGAAGCTACTACCCTGTCTAGCTTCTGTGAATGCCCGCGCATGCATATGTATACGATGCACGTGTTCCGTTCGTGTATACGATGTTATATTAGTGAAGTCGGTTGTTACCTTGCCAGGAATTCGGACGGAAGGCAGGCCGATGTCCCACTGATTAGCGCCGAGTCACACGGAATTCTTCGCGCGGAATGCCTAACTGCCGAACTTTATCGCCGAGCGATCATTAGAAGCTCGCGGACATCTCGCTTCCTTTTACTCTACGGTGGTATCTCAATTATATAAGCAGAATGACACACAGTCGTGGACAAATATATGCGAGCATGCTGGTTAAACATTTGTTAATCGTTAGAAGGCTAGTTCGCTAAATGATTCGTGTAAACGAATTTTTGCAAAAATAGTATTTGGCTCGAATGACAAAAAAATATGAAAATAGCTCGCGCTCTTAAACCTTTTTTATTCGAACATACAGTGAACATTCTGATACTCAGATAAAAAAGTTTGATTGCAATGTTTGCAAGATTTTTGTATACGTTGTTCAGCGAACTGGCCCTTCTACAATCTCAAAAGAATTAAAATCATTTGGTGCAATTTTAAAAAAGTTATTCTTATTATATACATTGCATATTTGTGTAGACAGTCTAGACAGTAAAACAGTTACTTAGTTACAGCGCTATCGTTATTAATTACTCCAGTATATTGTTTTGCATGTCGATGGAGCTGATTGCATTTGGAACCTACCTGGACAATGGAGAATTATAATATAGCAGGATAATCGGAGTTCTAGCGCATTCCAAAAAGCGAATAAAATAATAGTTGCAAAGTGGACTAATCTACGAAAATTGACAATTCCACGTAGACCTGCGCGAGTTAGCACCTTCTCTTCCCATGTATGAACGACCATAGGCAGCCCAACGTTAGTCAGGCAGATGGCAATCTAGGTTTAAGGCGATTCCTCGTCAGGTGGTTCCTCTGTATCGCGGGAGTGCATCTTTATTGTCGAACGCGACAGAAGACGCGTTCCGCTGAAGAAATAATCCCCGGGACGACCGCCATGGCACCGGCAGCGGTTCCCATCCATCCTCCAGAAGACAATAGGCTCCTCGACAAAGAGAGAAGGCCGCCGCTTTCCTTTCTCAAGAACCCAGCTCGGAACGACGACGATCGCTGGAGGCGGGCTCTCGAGGGACGCGGGCCTGAAAGCAAGAGGAACGGTGGTGCGGCTCGGATCGCTAGACTCTAATTGATAACCCTAATTATTCCGTTGTTCGCCTCGCGCAGCGATACGTTTATTAGACAAATCTTATGTTTTACGAGCGCCGTTGGAAACCGCTTCTCGCCACGGAGAAAGTAACTGCTCCATTAGCGAAATCGTTTCAGTTTCTCATTAAATTTCCTCCAATTAAGTATCACCTTTTTGCGTGCGCACTACGTTCGCGAAATGTAATCAAGCGAATCTGACTGCAGATTTTCTGCATTTTTGACAGAACTTAATGGAGGAAATAGGAAACGACGTAAACGTCTGAAGAATTTGATTATGCCGCTTGTCGTTCGTGCAAAAAGTGTGACCTGAATACAGATTGATAGACATTTAGAATCATGTTTGGTAGAACATCCATATTAGCAACAATTGTATACTTTCTCTCCGAGATATAAAATTATCTTGGACACGTTTCATTGCATCAATAAGAACTTGGAGAGCCCAGCAAGATTACATATCGAATTTCTCCTGATAGATTAGCTCTGCTGTCCTGTTCGGTCGAGCTGGACGTTTGAAAAAGTGTTAGCTGAGATATGATAGGATATTAGCTTTTTCTGAGATATGAAATTATCTTTAACACATCTCATTATATCAAAAAGGACTCGAAGAATGCAGCAATATTAAACATTCACAGTTTACTGATGGATTAACCACTCTCTAGTTTTTAGTTCTGCTTATCAGTTGAACTTATCAGTTGAGCAGTTTGCGCTTAGTAATTGAGTTTATCATTTTAAGCAAAATGTCTACAACAGGACAGTTGTATTAGCAACAATTGTATACATTCTTCCGAGACATAAAATTATCCTTGACACGTTTCATTGCATCATGGACTTAAAGAATTCGGCAAGATTAAAGATCCGCAGTCTGCTGATAAATTAATCCTGCTGCAGTGTCTAGTTAAACGAGACATTTGCAACAGTGTTAGCCAAAAAAGACCAAAGAATAATTATCTTTGCTACCTTTCGCGGTATCAAAAAGGACATAAAGACCGCAGTAAGATTAAAACTTGTTCTCAGCTGTGTTCCATAAAAGTGTGCACAACATTTCTCTGCTACGCAAATAAATATGTAATTCAATTATTCGGAGTTTTACATACTCGTGAGGCTTATCAAAATCGAATGGGAATGGGATATTTGGTACGGCGCGTAATGCAATGATTTTCCAGCAAGTAAACAGGGAAAGTGAATATACCCGCAAGCGAACGGAACGAAGGAAACAGTTACAGAAACGCGAACGCGCGAGTCGTTCGAACCGGTGAACGCTAAGCTTTCGAGTTGCGTGATCTCGAAAGCAAAAGGCGCGATATAAGTGCGCGCGATGAAAATGGACTAGAAACGCAGAAAACAAGGCTGGATCGCGCGTCCAGAACGACGCTGCAAACGCGCCACGGTGGATACGCGTAATGAAGAGTTAATTTGGCGGTCTCACGCGATCCAGGAAGGCGAAGGACGCTTCCCACGTTACCACTCGGCAGATGCCCGACGCCGACCATTTATTTTTGTGACGTTTTTGGAATTATTTGAGAATCTGTGGGGGCACCGTGGAAACGGACCACTCATAATTAATGCCATCGCGTCACCTGAAATGTGCGTCACTTAACACGGTCTTAATTAAACCAGTAATTTTATTTCTGCAGACAAGGTTCATTCCATTTGGAAAAATTATGCGGTACTTTTGCCAAACCTGTCTGTAGCCGATGTGGATTTTATGCGATACCAAAATTGCAAAAAACAGAAAGATAGCAGAACATTTCTTCCCTTGAATGAGTTCAATAAATTCAGACTAATGCACTGATATGCTTAAACATTATTATATGCATTTTATCATTCTTGTTAAAAATGCATATAGTCTACTGATGAGGTTAACTAACTTTCTCCCAGTGTAAATTATTTATATTATAAAAATATGTTATTAATTCTTTTAGTATTGACTAAAATAAAAAAAAAAGTCTACTTTTTATATTATTTTCATGACTTTATACCATAATCGTATTCTATGATTGCCGTTCAGATTGTACTGACATGATATTCGTAACATACAATCATATAAAAATCATGGTAAATAGAATCTCTCTCATAAGACTAAATATATTACAATTTTGTTACAAAATTAATATAAAACAATTCTCTAAAATAATTATATTCACCTCTTCATCGAAACCATTCCTTTTTGTTGAAAATATAAAGTCATTCCAGCACAACGAACTTTAAATAGCTGCAGTATTTCGACTGTACAAACGTAACATAATCATTTGCTTTCCGATCAAAGGCTCGAATAAAAAGATTCCTGAAGTATAAACTGTCTCGTATTAAAAATCAATTAGTTCGTGAGAATACTGTTCATACTTTGAATATCTACGTTAGAATTGTAACAGTTCCCAATAGAATTATAACTAAAGGCTAATTAGCTTGAACAGTCCTCGGCTGGAGGATGCAATGGGATCCAATGCGCCCGTCTCGGTTCACCGAGGTCACACGAGATGGTCACGCGCTGTCAATCCCAAGGTATGAGTGTCGAAACTGGCGTGGCACTGCAGAAGTTCGGGTTTCCAGATTCCCCGTCACGCCTTGCGCCTCCGGATTCCCTTTTCCAAGACCGTTCATCCAACGGTTGAAAGATCCTCGTTTCAATTATGCTCTTCTCATCTTATAATTGCGCTGCCAACGTTATCGGTACTCGGCGGCAGTGGCGAGCTATTTTCTCCGCTGCCGGTGACAGGACCGAGGCGATACGCTAACAGGAATTCGTGCCGGATATATGAAATTCTTGAGCAACGAAAAGATCAACCGTTTACTACGGCCGCATACCGGAAATGTGTAACGCGGTACGGTGAAAACTCGATCGCGCCTCCGCCGTATCCTGAAATCGGCAACCACTATTTAAGTTCCCAGTTCTCGCGAGGCGAGGAACGGGTTTCACAGTGGTTAGAATTCAGCCGATCACCTGCTTTAATATCGTTCGATTCTTGATTATGGGGCGGACACGTTCGCGGAACGTTTTTTACAGGAGATGGATTCACTTTCGCATATTTTCTCACGATCGTACCACGACCGCAAGTGAAAAGTTTTCGACGCTCTCGATCTCTTCAACGATCCGGGCACCGGTCTCGATTTAATCGGTTGTGAGAGCCACTGCTCGGAGATAAATAAGTTATAGATACAATGTTGCAAATTCTGCTGTATCAAACCGAAGCTTCGAGATCTCCTCTGACCACTGTTTTGATTTTTCGGTATGGAATCGCGATTAGTTGTATTCGTTGTGCAGTTGCGTCCTAAAAGTTAGAATAAAAGGGATGTAAAAATTGAAACAATAATAACGGATTTAATAAATTCGACTTCGGCAACGTGGTATTTTTAAATATTAGTAATCCTAATATACAACACAATACGTATACAAACCCGAAACGCCGTAGAAGAATTAAATAATGAAATCGTGAAAGAAATGATTGAATTGTGTGGTTCGAAACGATTTGAAATTGCCATTGCTATCGTCAAAACTGAAACATTCTAGAAAATCAGTTCAATACTGCTTACGCAGGAAATTCTGTCACGACTGCAGATAATGCGCGCATTGGATCGACCAGCGACGAGCGAATTCCGCTATTTTCTTCAAATAATAAAGCATAAGGAGTGCTCGGTATTTGAAGCGTTCGAAGCAACGTGCAGCGTTATGAAAAATTCATTTGCAGCAGACAGATGGGATAGAAAGATCTCTAGGAAGACGGGGACGCAGGCCTCGACCTGATTCACGCGACTGCGAAAAATCGAGATCGGGTTACACGCGATCTCTTTAATTGAGGATCGCCGGAAGCGTTCATTTCATCCTGTAGGATCCACCGACACCAGCGCGGAAGTGATTCCATGTTCTCGGAAAAATTAGCAGACCGTTCGCCGGAAATGTCAGTAGGCAGTTACCCACTGTTGAATCAGACAGTGTCTCAATTTCGCGTGGTTTTCCGTGGAAATCGTGTCACGTAGTACGTCG